TCTCTCTCTCTCTCTCTCTCTCTCTCTCTCTCTCTCTCTCTCTTTCTTTTGAGACAGTCTTGCTATGTAGCCCAGGCTGGCCTTGACCTCATAATGATCCTCCTGTCTCAGCCTCCCACTGTCAGGGTTACAGGTGTGCCCCAGCATCCCCGGCCATAAATCCTTGTTGAGCGGCTGAATGAGTGTCAGGCCAATCTCCTGAACCTGGAGAAGGCTGTTCGGGGCTGTGGGATGCTTTGGCACTGGGTGGACAGGGGATGGGGATTTGAGGAAGGGCCCTGCCCCTGCAGGAAGGAAGGCCGGGTTTATTTTAGTCGGTGGCCTTGTTCTCGGGCAGCAGTCACCTCCCTGTTGGGGACTTTCTGGCAGAACAATGGGTCCTGGGGAAAAAGGGAGGCCATGAAGCTGGGGCCCTGGGTGTCACAGGTCTGGGGCCAGGCGGGAGGTGACGCCGGAGAGGAGGTCGCAGCTGCTGGAGCGCCGCCCCCCCTTTCCTGCTGGGAGCTGGGTCCTTCCTGAAGCTGTCACCAGGTCTGAGAGGAACTTGTCACCTCCGAGCTGCAGATGGGGAAGGGAAGGCCCAGAGAGGGTGGAGCTCCGCCCAGGGTCACATAGCCTCTGTGATCCGCAGAAAGAAGAGGCTCCTGGGCTCCCTTTTCCTTTTCCTTTTTGTTTTTCTCTGAAAGGGTCTCACTGAAAGGGTCCAGGCTGGTCTCAAACTCATGGTGATCTTCCTGCCTCAGCCTCCTCAATGCTGGGCTGACTGGCGTGCACCACACCTAGCCTGGCCCTCCTTCCCAAGTCTGGGCCCCAGTCTGTTCATCTGGAGCCTGGGACTTGAACTCGGGTGTCCTCTGTTCCCATGTTCACAGACTTCCTTTCTCCCTTGTATGCAACAAACACTCACTGGGGTCCCTGGCTGGTCACGGGTGTGACAATACAGTCACAGCCCCTGCCGGCATCATAGGCCAAGCAAGGTGAACATGGAAGTGGAGGCACCTGGGCCGCATGGGGGATGTCAAGAGCTCTGTGGGCTGAAGGGGCATCCAGGAGGCTTCCAGGAGGAGGTGACAGAGACGCTGGGTCTTGAGGGATGAATAGGAGTTTACCCAGTGAATAAAGTTGAGAAGAATGAGGGAAAGGAACAGAAGAGAATGTTCTAGAGAAAATGGCAGGTGGGCATGGGGGAGGGAGGAGTGGCCCCTGTGGCCCACAGCCACTGGAAGTCACAGCTTCACCCTCCAGAGAGGACATTTATCTGCATGCTCAGGGACAGCAGGTAGAGACCTGGCTGGCTGAGGGTCGGGGGAAGCTGGCAGCCTGGGGGAATCCAGGGCTGGCCACAAGCTGCTGCCTGCATTTTAGACCTGGGGAAACTGAGGCATGCTGTGCTTAGGGTGTGTGCTGAGGTGGTCAGAGCTAGGAGCAGGCTGTCTATAGAGGGGTGGCTTTTGTCATGGGGACAGTGCGCAGGGATGCATGGGGCATGGGGTGGGAGGGGATCGGGCTGCAGAGGCCCCAGGGCAGCCCCGGGGGTGCGCGGCCTCTCTGAATCCGGCTCCTCGAACAGCTGCTTCGGGCCCAGAAGCCTGTGGGATGAACTGGCTGCCCTGGGTCCAGCCGGCCACGTGGCCCTGAGTCAACAGGCCTGTGACCCTCAGGGCAGGGACAAGGACACCAGGCGACCATTCCAGGCTCCTGACCTCAGAGGGCAGGAGAGAGGGCGGCTGAGGGCCAGGGCTCCTCCTGGGGCTGAGCTCACACAAAGACAGCTTTGTGGGGATCCCGGGGGTGAGTGGGGGCCAAGTGGCATTCCAGCCTGGGCTGGGGGTGGCCTGGGGCTGCTAGGCAGCGGTGGGCATGGGAGTTCAGCCATGGATCCTGGGGAGGTGGGGTCCGACTGCTCACAGGCCGAGCTGAGGGAGGAATCAGCCCAGAAAGAGCAAGGGTTTGGGGGCCTGGGATTTAGGGGGTATAAAGGGGTTCCCCAGGAAATAGCCAGTGGTTTGGGGGCCTGGGCTTTGGGAAATGTATAGGAGTTCACTAGGAAAGAAAGAGGTATGTGAGGTGGCTTGGTCCTGAGGCCAGGGAGAACTGTCCCCTGTTCTCAGCAGGAATAGACATGCCCAGCTCTGGAATTTAGGAGCAATTCCGGAGGTGAATCCACTATTGAGGCTGCTGGCCCTCCACCCATCCTGGGCCCAGGCCGACCACCCTTAGGGACCTGTACACCCCACAGGGGCAGTGAGGCTGGGGGCTCCGGACTCCATCCCACCAAGCAGCATGGGGTACAGGGAGTAGGGCTGAGGGGGATGAAGAACCCCTGTGATAATGTGCCCTGAGCCTCTTCTCCACTCACAGCAAGAACACAGTGGGTTAGGGGAGCTGCTGTAAGACCCTACAAATAGTGTACATCAGAAGGCCCTGCACCATTACTTATTCCTTCCTTTGACTTAAATACCATCACCACTGCTTGTTTTCTTCCTCCTCCTCCTCCTCCTCCACTTCCTCCTCCTCTTTATCTTTCATTCTTCCTTTTCTTCCTGTACTTCTTCTTTCTCCATTCTCCTCCTCCTCTTTTCCTTTGTAACTCTGGGGATGGAACTCAGGGACGCTCTACCACTGAGTTCTACCCCCAGCCCTTATTTACTTATTTATTTGGTACCAGGATCGAACTGGGGACCTTGTGCTTACAAGGCAGGCACCGGAATCACTGAGCTAAATCCCCAGCCCCCCTTTTTTATTTTTTGTAATTCGATACAGGATCTTGCTAAGTTGCCCAGACTGGGCTTGAACATGAGATCCTCCTGCCTCAGCCTCCCTAGTGGCTGGGATGACAGGCACATATACTGCCATCTTTTTACTTGCGAAGCAGGAGAATGAACCACTGAGCTAAATCCCCAGCCCCAATTTTTTTTTTTTTTTGTACCAGGGATCAAACTCGGGTCCTTGCGCTTGCGAGGTAGGCGGCGGAACCACTGAGCTAAGGCCCCGGCCCAACCACCATCTTTTTTAAGAAAACAGCTTTCCGGTAGGTTCCTCTGGGGTCTGTCGGGTGTCATCCCTCAGGTGTGAATGCCACCTGTCCCCACGCCTGTCCTGCGCCAAGGTCCCGCCCATGGTGGCACCACTGCCCCACACCCATTTCACAGGAAGGGGAGGGTGCGGGCCTGCTGCTCCATGTGTCCATCTGCCCATCTGTCCCCACAGGCCCATGGACCCCTTCAGCACCAAGAGCCTGGCACTGCAGGCGCAGAAGAAGGTCCTGAGCAAGATGCCCTGCAAGGCCGTGGTGGCGGCCCTGGTGGACGACACGAGCAGCGAGGTCCTGGACGAGCTGTACCGCGCCACCAAGGAGTTTACGCGCAGCCGGCGCGCTGCGCAGCAGCTGCTCAAAGACCTGGTGAAGGTGGCAGTGAAGGTGGCCGTGCTGCTGCGCGCTGGGCAGCTGGGCGCCGAGGAGCTGGCGCGGCTGCGGCGCTTCCGGCAGCGGGCGCGGGGCCTGGCCATGACGGCCGTGAGCTTCCGCCAGGTGGCCTTCACCTTCGACCGCCGAGTGCTGGCCGCGGGGCTGCTCGAGTGCCGCGACCTGCTGCACCAGGCGGCCGGGCCGCACCTCACCGCCAAGTCCCACGCGCGCATCTCCCGTGTCTTCGGCCACCTGGCGAACGGCGACTTCCTGGCTGCGCTGTACGGCCCAGCCGAGCCCTACCGCTCGCACCTGGACAAGATCTGCGAGGGTCTGGGCCGGATGCTGGAGGGCGGAACCATCTGAGAGTGTCGCCGGGGAGGGCGGTGCCGGGGCCTTAACGCCGCCCCACCCCACACCACTCTGGATGAGTGACCTGTCCCCTCACCAGGACCCGAAATCTTCAGCACCAGCAGCTTCAAAGGCCCACGTCGAGCCTGGCATGGTGGTACGCACTCTGGGAGGCTGAGGCAGGAGGATCTCAAGTTCAAGCTCAGCCTGGGCAGCATAGCAACTTAGCGAGACCCTGTCTCTAAATAAAAAATTTACAAGGGTTGGGGATGGAACTCAGTATGAAGGCACTGGGTTCAATCCCCACTACCAGGCAGAAAAATAAATAAGTAAATAAAAGTAAAGCCCGAGTTGCCTTAGGTGCCTCGACCTGTGATGACAGACAGGGACTCAGAGCTGTGCTAGACCCCAGCTTGCCCAGGACCACCTGTCACTCCATGGTGTTCCCGGGCCCGTGCTGATTCCAGCGGGACCCGTCTGCTCCCTGTGAACCTCCTGGTGGGTCTCAGAGCAGGCGTGGGCTGTGTTGGGGCCTGGGCGTCTACATCCCCCCTGCAATCGCGGGGAGGGGGAGAGCAGACCTGCATCTCCCAAGCCCTTGCCTTCCTATCCGGACCACCAGGCCTGCACAGGGAGATCGGGTCCGCAGGCAGAACTGGCTAGGGTGAGGTCCTGGTGTAGTGGGGGGTCCTGACCCAGCACCACCAGGGTCCTTCTAAGTAGGGACGGTCCTTGGACACAGACCCACACAGGGCCAACACGCGTGACAGTGGAGGTGCAGATGGGTGACATTTCCACGAGCCAGGGACACCCAGGATGGCAGCCACCGCCATACGCTGGAGACAGGTGGGGACGGGGTCCTCGCGGCCCCGGGGTCGCTGGTCCTGCCCGCATCTTGACGCCAACTTCCAGCCTCCCGGACTGAGTGGGGATGAAATGCTGTTGTGGAAGCTGCGCAGCTTGGGGGATTTGTCCAGCGGCCCCAGGAAGTGGACAGATGGGGCCCTGCAGAGTGCAGCGTGGGAAGGTGCCAACCAAGCCCCACAGTGCTGTGCAGGCAGACTGCGGGGCTCAGTGGGGAGCGCCCACCTGGCTGAAGGGAAAAGCCCCAGGAAGCAAACCCCAGAGCATCTCAGCTCTGGCTGCACCTGGAAGGCCCCAAGAGCCTGGCGTCGGGGTTTCCGCCCAGTGCAACACACAGCAGGGTGGGAGGCTATTTTGGCAAATGGGGTGCAAGGGGGACACCTCCGTGACTGAATGCAGAGCTGTGTCTTTTTGGGCGAAGGTCCCAAGTAGGTCTGAAGGTGGCTCTGCTCAGGCCCCATCAGTATTTGAGAAGTTTGGAATCGGCTGCCAACATTTAAACACCCGGAATTGCACTGACTCATCTAGCTGTTATCTTTAGAAAGCGGTCAGCATTGTGCCCATAGAGCCCCCTGGTGGAACCGCGGGGCGACTGCAGACCCCTCCAGGCCTTCTTGTCTCCCTGGCCTGCTGCTGCAGATGACAGGAGAGGAGCTTTCCGCTTTTTTTTTTTCTTCCTCAATACTAGAGATGGAACTAGCTAGATTTTTTCAACTGAGCTACATCCTCCTCAACCCTTTTTGAAATTTGTTTCCAGTACCGGGGATTGAACTCAGGACCTTGCACTTACCAGGCAGGTACGGCGCCACTGAGCTTCATCCTAGGCCCAACCCTTTTTGAGATAGGGTCTTACTAAGTTACTAAGTTGCCTAGGCTGGACTAGTGATCTTCCTGCCTCAGCTTCCTAGAGCGCTAGATGACAGGCATGTGCCCCTACACCCAGGTTCTGCTCTTGAAAAAGCCAAAAGCTTTCTGTCACTGAGAGGCCCTCTTCCTACTGTCCCACCCTGCCCAGGCAGAGGTCAAAGGCCGATCTTAAGGAGCATAACGCCAATTTTGTCTTAAAGGCGTATTACTGTGGGTGTATAATGCCCACGTATATTCTTTAAAATATTTCTATTGATGAATTACTAATTTTAATTTTGAGTTTTATTACATTAAACAATGAGTACTTAACAGGAAAAAAATAAAAAAAGAAAGTATTGAATTTTTAATACCCATTATTTTTAAAATGCATCAAAATTTTCAACATCGACTGTTTTTTGAGTGTACAAAATCTAAAAAATAATAGAAATACGCCAGGGATTTAGCTCAGTGGTGCTGCCACCTGCCTCAAAAGCTCAAGGTCCAGAGTTCAATCCCTGGTACAACAAAAAAAACAAAAACAGAAATAAATTCCTATATGAACTACAATAATACCAATAGAGCTCCACCAAAAAAAAACATTTTACTTCAATTATCACACCCCAGCCAGTCTTAACACATAACAGCATACTTCACACACGTATCACACCGACAGCACATGTGTTTTGCTTTTTGTAGGGCATACTTGACATCTCACTGGTCTTGCTGTTTTGTCAGGAGGTTCTTATATTATACAACGTGTAGTTAACAGGAACATAAAATATCAATAAAATAAAGTATTAATTTTGGGGGTACTTGGGATCAAACTCAGGACCTTGTGCTTGCACTGAGCTAAATCCCCGGACCTAAATTCTTTTTTTTTTTTTTTTTTTTTTACCACAAGCCTTTATTAAGAAGGAACAATCTGCCAGGCTGCCTCTTAACAAAGAGTGGAGCCCCTAAATTCTTAATATGTGTTGTGCATTCTGAATAAACATCAACATTTTCACATCAGCTGTGTACTTACAAACCCTAAAAGATAACATCAGAAATACCTGTATGAACTACAATGAAAGTATCAACTCTATAGAAAACATCTGCTTCAACTGCCATACCCAAGGCAGTCTTCACCCATGAAAACTGCATGTTCCATGCACAGGTATTGCTTACACTGATAGCATGGATGTTCTGTTTTCCTGTCCTTTCTTGTAGGGCACAGTTGACATCTTTTTGGTTTTCCTGTTGTTACAGTAGGTCTTTGTGATGTTACGCCTGCCTGTTCACGTCAGCTCACCAGTGTGGTCCACAATTGTTTTTGCATAATCCCATGGAAAAAAACATTGTTTTTCCTCTGCTATAAGTGATCTCTTATGAGTTCCAGTACCAATCCTCCAAGAGAATTTTTTTTTTGGGTACCAGGGATCGAACTCAGGACCTTCTGCTTTCGATGCAGGCGGGGGAACCACTGAGCTAAATCCCCAGCCCTCCAGGATAAATTTCTAAATTGAAAGCATAATGAATCTTTGCATCTACAAGGGCATAAAGTTTTAGGCCACATTTTGAAGGGTTCTTTTGGCGTATACTGCCTGAAGCTACGGGAACCATGAAATGCTGCAAGATGTTCATCAGTAGTCATGTATTCAGATGTAATCATGTGTGTACATTGACAATTACCCACAAATCTCTCCATGAGCAAAGCAGCCATCTCGTTGGGTAGTTTTGTCATTAAACCTCAGGCCATTTTGAAGGAAACCAAATCTTTTCTGTCAATTATTCTACAAACCTCAAGCCCACACCCATGGCTGCTGTCTTTTACATTCCTGCAATTATCATGAGAAAGCCCTATAATTGCTTTCAGTTCAGCTAGTGAGGTGTCAGAATAAACACATTTTTCAGTATTGCTATTGGTGCATACGGAATGTTTTACTTGTATTTCAGTATCTGTGCATTTCACATCTTGCAGTGTTTCATTGAATGGCAGTGCTGGCATTCCATCCAATAGGTTTTATCCCTGCCAAGATCCTCACTGTATTTTCAGGCCTAGTTCTAACATTGCATTGTTCCACTTGGTTGTGTGACCATTTTGACTATTCAAATATGTACTAAAGAAAACAAAAGTACTCAAATTGCTGTTTTCTTCATCATCTGAATCAAGAAGGTCTATATTTCCTGTGTATCAATCAATTCTTGCTCCATTTCCCTGTCACAGGAACTATGGGTCACAAGGCCAACATCAAAGTCATTATCATCATTTATGCATGAGTAATCTGATGATTCACTTTTGACCTCCTGAAAAACTTGCAAATTTGGTTTTTCATGTACCATTGAAGTGAATTGGGCTACTCCTACCAGAAAAATCAAGTTTTTAAAAAAGACAAATCCTTGGGCCGGGGATTTAGCTCAGTGGTTCCGGTGCCTGCCTTGCAAGCGCAAGGTCCCGAGTTTGATCCCCGGTACCAAAAAAAAAGACAAATCCTAAATGCACATTAAAACTGTTGCTGCTTTGGAGCTCCTATACACACCTTGCCATTTGTCTGCCAAGTGGGTGAATGGACAAATTGGCTTTTGCTTTCCCCAGGTGCAATTATTATGTCACACCATTCCATTATGGTAAAATACATGTTTAGTGGGTGTATTTTACCCATGATGCTCAGGCAAACATATGCAAAATCTGTTATGAGTATTGTGGGTAAAAATCCTGGTTTACACTTTTCCACACATGCAGTGTAGAGACCTTGCTTACCCAAGTAGGTAAACACCAAGATTGACTCCTGTATCCTCAGGCACAGCTACTGAGATGCACAGCCAGCTACCATTACACTAAATTACAAATTTACAGTAGAAAAGTATAAGATGGATTATTGTAACCCAATGTTATGCCCTACATAAAATGCTGTTTGTAACTGCAAGCAGTTAGATCTTTCATTGTTTGGGTATCAACTAGACATACACAGGGAACGGAGTATGGCTGTTCCCACTGGAATGTCTGCCTACCTGTAATGAGAATTTTCACAGTGCACATGCATCAGGCCTCTACAGTGAAGAGCAGTTTGGGGTATAATGTGGTACACAGTTCTTTGGAAAAGGGCCAAGAATGGTGTGAATGTCTTCCTAGAAAGAAGCCTAAGTGAGAAGGCCAAAGGATACGAAGAACCAACTCACATTCTGATGTCCCGAAAGCCCTGGCCCCAGGTGAACCTCTGTGCCCTCAAATGTGCAGGCCAGATCAAGGTATGTAACTGTCCTTGTCCCCTGCTGGGCCATCTAGTCTGCCTGGACTCTTTTGTAAATTTGAGATTCAATTAAAAAATAAAAACAAAAAAGAGCACCAGAGAATGAAACAAAAGTGACGCCTCTCTTTAGCATGATGTGGGGCTGGGAGGATGTGCTGGCTGCTGCCTTCTTCACGTCTTGCCCTCACAGAGGCCCCAGGAGGGCCTGGATGGGTGGCTATTTTCTTTTGTTATTTATTTAAATATGAAAGAAAACTTGATGTCTTCCCAGTTCATCTCAAACGAGGTCCCCTGGGTGATGGTGGGGTCGAGTCCTGGAGGCTCCCAGTGCCTGGCAGGTCCCCCGGAGACCTGGGCTGGCTTCAGGAGCCCTGGGTGTCCTTGGTCCACCTCCCCATGCTGGGGCTGAGGAACAGGGCTGGGACGCAGTTCACAAGCATGGTGGGTGGTGGCTTCTCTGCACACAGCCGCTGGCTGAGTAGGGCCACTGGTGCAGGTAGACACCAAGGGTCCCCAAGAGACCAGCCCCACCTGCCAGTGTTCTCGGCGTTGCCATTGGTCACAGCTCGCTGTGGGCTTCCTTGGCCACGATCACCAGCTTGGACAGCTCAGCCCTGAAGGCGCCAGGCCTGTGGGCCACTGCAGGGAACAAGAACAGTCAGTGTGTGACACAGGCAGGGTCTTCAGTCTGGGGCCGGTGGGAGCCACAGGGGGCACAAGGTGGGATGGGTCCTGGTCATTGTGCCAGGTCAGGAATGGGGAAAGACTGGACCAGGATGGTGACAGCGGGCTGGAGGCATAAGGCTGAGGGGTGGTTTAAATGAAGCAACCCCCAAAGAGCCAGGCACAGAAGGCTGGGTCCCCTGTGTGGCAGAGTTGAGAGCTGGGGCCCAGGGGCATGAGTGGGCCATGAGGGCACTGACCCCACTGAGGGATTAACCAACTGATGATGAGGTCGCAGCCCAATCAGGTGAAGCAGTTCACAGAGGCCTGCCTTGGAAAGGCATTTTACATTTTTCGGGGAAGGTCTTGAGGATGGAATCCAGGGCCTTCGCACTGAGCTACATTCCCAGTGCCTTTTTTCACTTATTTTGCAACAGGGTCTTGCTAAGTTGCCCAAGTGAGGCTGGAACTTGAACCCTCCTGCCTCAGCCTCCCAGAGAACTGGGATGATAGGCGTGCGTCCCCATGCTCTGGCTCCATCTTTACCAACCTGCTGCTTTGGTCACTTCAAATTCCTCATTTTTCAGGGGAACGTCACTTTCTCTTTCAAACGCAGCTTTCGACTGGAAGGGAACAAGCAGGGCCTTTACTGGAAGTCACCATCCAATTGGGAACAGAAGCGCTCAGTCTGCTCTGCAGAGGGGCAGACTAATGCCAGGTGAGCTGCTGAGTCCCAGAGGGACTTTCCCGAGCTCTTGGGAGAGGAGGGAACAGGAGCAGCTGGTTCAGCTACCTCAGAGAGTCACCTGGCAAAAGCTTCAGACTCTGCCAGGTGTGGTGATGCATGTGTCATCCCAGCACTCTGGGAGGCTGAGGCAGGAAGATCACAAATTTGAGCCACACCCCAGACCTGTTTAATTTTTTTTTGGTACCGGGGATCAAACTCGGGACCTTGCAATTGTGAGGCAGGTGCCAGAACCACTGAGCTAAACCCCCAGCCCTCCCCTATTCAGTTTTGAGACAGGATCCTGCTAAATTGCCCAGGCTGGGCTTCAACTTGGAACCCTCCTGCCTCAGCCTCCCAAGTACCTAGGATGACAGGCATGTGCCATTCCGCCTGGCAGCTATAATCTCTTCATGTTTGTTTCCCTGGTTGAACCTGGATGAACAGCAGTCATTTCCTGTTTGAGCCCAGTGTAGGGGTGTGGCTGTGGTGGCTCTGGCCAGGGCAGGGTGGGGGCTTCTCCTGTCCAGGCACCAGACTCTCGTGGAGCCTTAGGGTAAGGAGGTCAGCAGAGGTGCTGCCCAGGTTGCCTGCAGAAGCTGGCCTGCCTGAGGGCCTGAGAGCCGAGGAGTGCGGGCCCCACCCTGGAACCACATCCGGCCCCCAAACCCCCACACAGAGCTGGACTCACATAGGCCATGGCATACTCGATTTCAGCACCGTGCACCTCGGCCTTGAACTGGGTGAAGTAGAGGTAGGACTTCCCCTGGGGCCTGAAGGGAGGCAGTGGTCTGAGTCCCGAGAGCCCTGCTGGGATGGGCAGTCCCCACACCTGCACCAGCCCCAGGTGCCTGGCTGAGCCCACCCTGCCAACTTCCCCATGGACACCTGTGTCCTCCACTCCTCCCTCCCTCCCCCAGCCCCACTGGTGGCCAGGGCCCCAAGGCTGCCTCATTTCTGAGCAGCCTGGCACCATCTGGACCTCTGCTCCAGGCCTCCCTGTCTGCTCCAGCCCAAGGGATCTAAGCATGCACAGTCCTACTTGGAATATTACTTGGCCAGGAAAAGGAGCAGGGCCTGTACCACAGCGAGGGCACCCTGTGCTCATGGGCTGCACTCACCTCCAGATGATGCAGGTGAAGTGCTGGTGGTCCTCGCTGGTGCCCAGACTCATCTGCCATTGCTGTAGAGAGGGCAGGGGTAAGCGGGGAACGACTGCACCCTTGGGCTCCCCAGTACTGCAGGATTTACCTCCTCCGCAGGCCAGGGACCCTCTCTGTGTCTTCTAGTCCCAATCAGGGCTGGCCCATCCAGGCCCTGGGACCTTGCCCACTCCACACCTTCCCCAAGGGTCATGGGACCTCTCCCGAGAACCTGCCCGATCCAGGCCCAATCGTCAGGAGCAGGAATGGTTCTGTGACACGAGGAAAGATGTCCAGCTCACCCAGGAGGAGAGACAGAGGCCTCCCTCGGGTCAGGGGCCCCACTGTTGACACACTGTGTGGGGGCTGAGACAGTGCAATCAAAATGTCTCAGGCTCAGGGCTGGGGATTTAGCTCAGTGGTGCTGCTGCCTGCCTTACAAGTGCAAGGCCCCAAGTTTGATCCCCGGTACAAGGAAAAAAAAAAAAGATCCAGGCTCGGCAGGAGGTTCACAAGTTCCAGTCAAGCCTGCGCAACTTAGGGAGCCCGTCTCAACATAAAAAATAATAAAGGGCCAGGATGTAGCTCAGTGCAAAGGCCTTAGGTTCCATCCCCAGTACTGCAAAAAGAGAAGAAAACAAAACACAACAAAACCAGGCACCCCTCCGAGCAGTCTTGTGCTTTGAACCTGACCATGGCCTCAGGGCAGATGCAGGGGGCTCAGGAGCAGTTTACAGGGAGGTGTGAGGGTGGCCCGCTCACCCTGGCTCTAGGAACTTATTGCTGGCTGAACTGGGGGGGGGGCACAGCACATGGCACATGCATGCCAGCTGCTGTTGTTATTTATTCGATTTTTTTTGAGATAGGGTATCCCTAAGTAGCCCAGGCTGGCCGGGAACTTGTGGGGATCCTCCTGCCTCAGCCTCCTGAGTCCTGGGATCACAGGCATGCACCACCACAGCAGGTAATATTCTATTCTACTTCTTGAGAACAAAGAAGATGCCATTTCTCTGGGGTAGATTAGAATCTCAATCCACAAAAACAGATTCGGATCCACGTAATTGTGAAACTATCGTGCCCACCACTTTTTCTTAAGACCCAGTCACATCCAGGCTGACATACTGGTCCATGGGGCTCTGTCACCACAGAGTTGCCGCGTGTCCCCCACCTGGCTGGGACACCCCCCACCCCTATCCTTTGGGAGCTGGCTGGGTCCTGTGAGCTCCTGGGCACCCGACCCAACCCACCCTGCAGACCTGCCTCGAAGAGCCATCCACCCGCGGGGCTCCAGCACGCAGCTGGGGTGCCTGTGGTGCCCCGAGAGGAGAGAGCACTCGTTTCGCTTGTGCAGCTCCGCACTGTGTTCGGCAGGAGCCAAGGACACGCCTCCTTGAAACATGTCACGGGTAGGGCTACTCTGAGTCAGAGCGCTGAAGACAGCAGGTGTGAGATCCTGGCCCACTGATTCTTTTTGTTAGTTTTCTGCAGTGCTGGGAGTGGAACCCAGGGCCTCATGCATGCTAAAGAAACGGGCACCACTAAGCTGCACTCCCGGCCCTTTTCTCATTTTCATTTCCAGACAGGGTTTCCCTAAACTGCCCAGGCTGTCCTCAAACTGGTGGTCCTCCTGCCTCAGCCTCCCAAGCAGCTGGGATGACAGGCGTGTGTCACCCCGCTGGGCTTCCTTCTATTCACAGAAACAGAAGCTGATTTAGCTGCCTCCTCTTGACTCAGTTCTCTTGTCCAGCTCAGTCCAGAGCGCTGAACCCACCAGAGTCCACGCTGTGTCCTCCGTGTCTGGCGTCTCTCACCGAGCACGGCGTCCTCAGGGCCCGTCCACACGTGTCCCTCTGCCTGGGGATGGACATGGCTGTGCCCACGTGCTGGCGAGCACGGAAGGCCCTGCCTCAGCATTTCCAGCTGAGTCTGCAAGGTCCCAAGTCATTCCAGGGAGGCAGAGCAGGCCAAGGGGTGGGATTCTGGGGTAGAAGGGCAGGGGGACAATGAACCCTAAGGCTTCGTGCTATGCTCCCCAAAGCAGCTGCACCTCCCTGCACCTCTACACTGTGCACTGCACTGCAGGGCTGGCCTCACCTGAATGGTCCCCCTGCCTGTGGCTGCCAACCACTCAGGAGCGCCTGAGAAAGACCTCTGAGAGGAAGCAGAGCTGAGGAATGCACCTCATGCTGGGTGTGGTGGCACACGCCTGCCATCCCAGCACTTGGGGGCTGAGGCAGGAGCATCCCAAGTTTGAACCCAACCTGGGAAACTTAGTGACTCAACAAGACCCTGTCTCAAACAAAAAGATAAAGAAATCAAAAAAAGGACTAAATTCTGCTTCCCCTCCACTGGAGTCTCTCACTCAGCTGCCTGTGTGGGTAGCACTCAGCTGCAAACCTAGCCCCGGCTCCTCGATTCCCAGGAGGCCCCCTTATTGGAAACCTCTTTCCTTAAGGGCCAACATGGCAGGCCCAGGCCTGGGCACATCTCATCCTGGTGCTGCCACCTTAAACAACCCACTAATCTGTGAAGAACCTGTCCAGACTCTAGTCACAACACGTCGGCTGGCAAGGACACAGGGCCCACGGATTCTGGTCACCAGCCACATTCAGCAGTGACAGAGGCACCACCAAGCCTGGGTGGCTGGTCCCCAGCAGTTGTCTGAGACATCATCCATGGCTGTCACCCCGGGGGAACTCCTGGCTGAGCGGGTTGAGGCTGGGGACACTGCCCCACACCTGCAGTGCCTGGGAGCACCAGAGATCACAACCTGCCCCAGCATCTCCAGCATCTGGGGGAAAGCCCAGTCCTGACACTCCCTCCCGGGGGGAGGTGGCAGCAGCTCCCAGGAGCTGGACCTGCTTGGAGTGTCCTCAGGTAGAGCCCTGTGGGGCTCCCAGGCGGCGTCCATCTCAAGATTGCATTACATTGGGCCAGCTGGAGTCGGGGCGGTGCTTCCTGACATTTTGTCCCAATCCCTGACCTCTGTCGTACAGACCCTCCCCTTCCCGTGGATGCGTGTCCTTCCTGACCTCAGGAGGCCCAGGTCTGTCTTGTGGCTGTGCCCCTTCTGAGCTGCTGACCTCTCCAGACCCCGCATGAGGCAGCTCCAGGGTAATCCAGGTACTCATCCGTGCTCCATGCCCACTGGGGTGTTATGACAGAAGGGTTTCCTGGAGCTGCTGACACGAACCAGCCCACACCCAGCAGCAGATGTGAATTCATACTGTCATGGCTCCAGAAGTGGAGCCCCAAATCAGGGGGCTGTAGGCTGCACTCCCTTGGAAGCTCCAGGGCATGGTCCTTCCTGCTTCTTCCAGCTTCCAGTGGCCCCACATCCCTGGGCTTGTGGCCACACCACTCCAGTCTCTGTGTCTCTGTGTCTGTCTGCGCAGACCAGCTCCACTGTAGAGCTTTTTTTGTTGTGGTACTGTGGATTGAACCCAGAGCCTTTGTTCTGAGCTCTATCCCCAACTCTGTGAGATCAGGTCTCGCTGAGTTGCTAAGTTGCCCAGGCTGGGCTGGAACTTGTGATCCTCCTGCCTCAGCCTCCTGGGGTGCTAGGATGACAGGTGTGTGCTACCAACACCCAGCTTCTTCTCTGCTTCTCTCGCGCAGATCAATTCAGGGCCCACCTGGGTATTCCAGGATACCTTCTTCCCCACACTAACACAGATGCTTTTCCTAAATGAGGCCCTGTGCACAGGCTCTGGGAGTCAGGACATACAGCTATCTTTCTGGGGGCCACCTCTCAACCCACGATACTGTGTAAATTGCTACAAATTTAGCAGCTTAAAAACCTTCCCGTTTCTGAGCTCACAGTCCTGCAGGGCAGAACCCAGGCCTGGCATGCTGGGTCCTTTGCTTGGTCTCACAGGGCCAAACCAAGGCACTGACTTGACAGCTCTCAGCTGCAGCTCAGGGCCTCTCCAGGCTCCTGTGTTGTGGCAGAATTCAGTTCCTACCCAGGCATTTGGGAGGGTGAGGCAGAAGGAGAGCTTCAAGTTAGAGCCCAGGCTGGGCTGGATACTGAGTTCAGGGAGAGCCTCAACTCCAAGTGATACCTTGTCTCAAAAGAGCAAAAACTAGAACAAAACAAAACAATTTGGTTCCTTGTTCTCAGCTCCAGGCCACCTGCTCTCCTCGACATGAGGTCCCCTAAAAGCTGGCAAGCACTCACCTCGCCCTGCTGTCTAACATATCATCACTTTACTCCCTTCTTTGCTGCTGGTTGGAGACAACACCCAGCAAGGAATCACAATCCTGACCTCCAAGTGCAGAGAACTGAATTCTGTCAACAGTCTGAAGAGCTGGAAAGAGGTCTTCCCCGCAGAGGCTGCAGATAAGGGTCCAGGGGTAGGGGGGTGGGGGGTACACCTGGAGTTCTGCCGAGCAGACCCAGACTCTGTCCTATAGAACTGTCATACAGGGCCAGGGATTTAGCTCAGTGGTTCTGCCACCTGCCTCGAAAGCCAAGGACCAGAGTGCGATCCCCGGTACAAAAACAAAACAAAACAAAACAAAACAAAAAACTGTCATACAATTAGGCTTGGAGGAGAATGCCCATAATCCCAGTACTCGGGAGGCTGAGCCAGGATGGCTGTGAGTTCAAGGCCATCCTAAATTACACAGGGAGACCCTGTCTCAAAATAAATAAATATAACAGGAAGCAAATTTTTTAAAAAGGAACTGTAGGACAATACATACTATTTTTCTTAAAACATTGTACTGGAAGCAGGCATGGTGGCACACACCTGTAATCCCAGCACTTGGGAGGCTGAAGCAGGAGGATCACCATGAGTTTGAAGCCAGCCTGGGCTCCATAGTAAGTTCAAGCCTAGCTTCAACTACACACCAAGACCCTGTCTCAAAAAAACAAAAACAAAACAAACAAAAACCCCCATGGTACTGGGGAGAGAACCCAGGGTCTTTGTGCTAAACTACATCCCCAGCCCGTATTTTATTTATTATTCTGAGACAAGGTCTCACTAAGTTGCCCAGGCTGGCCTGGAACTTATGATTCTGCTCCTTCGGCCTTCCAAGAGTGCTTGGAGTGTACACGGTGTTGTTTGTGGGATTGTGATACAGAGAAAATGAATACAACCCTAACAGAGGGGAAGGGGCCAGCAGAATCACATCCCACATTGTTCCTTTCGTCTAGACCCCTACTTGTTCTGTGGAACAAAAAGGGCAGCATCTGGTGTTGCTGTTTAATAGAAGCACTTCTCCGTCCCCTTCTCTCTAAGCAAGAGTGGTTCAATGTGTCCACTGCAGCGCCCAGGGTGCACTGTTCCCTGGACAGTGTCTCTGCAGAACAAGCATTGTGGGATTCTGAACAACTCACCTCATTGGTCCCTCCTTGAGATGCATAAGTGAATGTACAGGTAAATTTGTCCTAGAAAAGGGCAGAAAAAAAGGCTTGGTAGGAGGTAATCCTTAGGGCCAAAGGCACAGGGTCTCAGGGCCTGCAGAATCAGCAGTGGAAAAAGATCCTGCTGATGTTCCTGGAGACCAAGACCTGTAGCTACCCCTTCCAGTGAGCTCCAGGGTCATTAGAAACAGTCCATGACCCCTCTATCAAAAGCTAGAACGGTGGTTTGGAAGCAGACACCTGGGGTTCCGGACAAAAGAAAATCTTTTTTGTTTTTTTTTTTTTGGTACCGGGGATCGAACTCAGGGTCCTTGCACTTGCAAGGCAGGCTGCGGAACCACTGAGCTAAATCCCTGGCCCTGTTTTTTGAGAAAAGTTCTCCCTACGTAGTTCAGGCTGGCCTCAAATTCGCGGGGATCCTTCTGCCTCAGCCTAGCCTCCCGTGGGCTGGGATTACAAGTCTATGCCACTACCCCTCCGGAAATGAAAACCCGAGCGGCTACTTCCTCATCTGTCAAATGGCTCTAACAGATAATGCCCCTCGAAAACCACTTGGCTATAAGGAAGGGTTCAACACGGGTTAACCACGGAAACAGTTGTTATAGCAGGAAAGAGAAGCCGAGAAAGAGGCTTTTCCAGCCGTAGGCTACGCCTACGTGTGCTGGCTCCATAGAAGATGGGCCTGGCCTCCCAGCCTCGATGGCAAGGACGTGGGACCTCAGGAGCGGACGAGGGCGGCACAGAACTGCGGCCGCTGCTCCCAGCCCCTTCACCCCCACGCGAGAGTCAGGCGCCTCCCGGAAGCCGAGCGCAGGTGACAGGTGAGAGGGGCCCGAGGCTGAGACCACGCCCCTCCCGGGAAGCCCCTCGTCTCAGTTCTTCCCCCCCATGAAGTCCCCACCCCTCGGAGTCAGTGACCCGCCCTGGCCCCAGTCCTCCGCCCACACCGACCGGTGCCAGATACTGGGGCAAAGACGGCACGTACCCCGGGTCCCACGTTCTGGGAGAAGGAATGCACGACGCCACCGGGCCGCACGTCAAACGCCACCGTCGTAGGCTCAGACACTGCCTCCGCCGGCCTCAGAGCCACTGCCGCCAGGAGCAGCGCGGCAAACCAGGCCCCACCACAGCCGTCACTATTTCCCCTGGGCGCCGCCATCTTGAGATTGTGTCCCGCAGAGGGGTGGGGGGACGGACGAGGCGCGGCGAGGGACACGTTGGCCTCTGTGCGGCCTCGTGAGCCTTGCGCCCCGCCCCTTCCGCTGCCGGGCGCCATGTTGGGGCGGGGCTTGGGGCAGCAATGATTGGTTATTCCTCTCTAACAATTAGTGCTCCTGGAATGTATGAAAGCAAAGCCAGCTTTTGGTCATTAGTAGGCAACACTTCGTAATTTTTTTTTAAAGCAAAACCTTTATTGGTACATTTTACTTTCTTTTTTTTTTCTTGGTACCGGGGATCGAACTCGGGTCCTTCCGCTTGCGAGGTAGGCGGCGAAACCACTGAGCTAGATCCCCGGCCCCTATTGGTACATTTTAGATATACATAATGATAACATTCATCATAGAGAATTTATTCCTTTCTTTTTGGTTCCGGAGATCGAACTCAGGTCCTTCCGCTTGCAAGGCAGGCGCCAGAACCTCTGAGCTAAATCCCCGCCCCTCTCATAGAGAATTTATACCTCTACATGATATATCTTGCTTCTTTTTCTCCCATTGTCCCCCTCCCTTCCACTCCTCTTCCCCTCCTTATTTACAAAAGCTTTGTTTCCATTTTTTCTTTTTACAGTGGATCCTTGACTTATGAACTCAATTGGTTCCCAAGGGTTGGTTGTTACTCAACTTGATTGTAAGTCAATACAGCTAGGTCAGGATGTTTACTGGTTACATGCTATACATAACAAGAGGCAGATGATTCTTCCCTATTAACCTAATTAACCCAAGTTGTTCCTATCTCAGGCCGGTTGTAACTCGAGGGTGCACTGTATTCTTTTTTTCTTGTCCTTTCTTTCCTTTCCCCTGGCCCCATCCCTTGTTCCCCTTTTCATTTGAACATTTTCTTTCCATTTCCCCATATCTATTATCCTTATTTTGTTTCTTATTTCCATTTTTCGTTTCTCATACCAGAAAAACAATGCAATATTTACACACGTGTGTCCGATTTTTCTCACTTAAACGTATGGTCTTAAGGTCCATCCATTTAGCTAGAAATGTCTCAAGCCTATCCTTCCTTATGGCAGAGTAATACTCCATTGTATTAAAAAACCCCACATCTTTATCCACTCATCAGTTGATGGGCATTTGGGCTGTTTCTAAGATTTAGCTGTTACAGACTGTGTGGCTATAAACATGGGTGTGCATTTATTACTGTACTATGATGCTTTTAATTCTTTTGGGAAGATACCAAGAAGGGGAATAGCTGGGTTGAATGGAACCTGTAATTTTAGTTTTTGAGGAATCTCCACACTGATTTCCACAGTGCTTGCACCAGTCTACACTTCCACTAACAGTGGAGAAGAGTTCCTTTTTCCCCACAGCTGCTCCAGCTTATGTTATTGGTTGATTTCATGATAGCAGCCATTCTTTCTGGAGTGAGATGGAATCTCAGCATTGTTTTCATTTGCATCTCTTGAATGACCAGTGATGTTGAACATTTTATTTGGTGCCTCTGCTTCTTCATCTGAGAAGTGTCTGCTCATTCAGATGTCCATTTTTGGATTGAGTCTTTAAATTTGTGGGGGGTCTGATTTTTAGGGGTTTTTTGGGGGTGGTGGTGGCAGGAATCGAACTCAGAACCTTGAGCTTGCCGGGCAGGTGCAGTACCGCTGAGCTAAATCCCCAGCCCCTTGAGGTTTTTCTTTTCTTTTTTTTGGTACTGGCGATCAAACTTGGGACCTTGCACTTTCGAGGCAGGCAGTGGAACCAATGAGCTAAATCCCCAGCCTCCCTTGAGGTTTTTTTTTGAGACAGGGTCTCATTGTGTAGTTCAGGCTGGACTTGAAGTCACTGTGGAGCCCAGACTGGCCTCAACCTCTCAGTGATCCTCCTGCCTCAGCCTCTTGAGTGCTAGAGTTACAGATGTGCACCACCATGACTGGCTTGAGTTCTTTATATATTCGAGATATTAGTTGAGAAATAGCTGGCAAAATTTTTTCCCACGGTGAGGGTTGTCTCTTCATTCTGTGGGTGGTTTCTTTTGCTGTGCAAAGGTTTAATGAGATGAGATCCCAGTTGTTGATTTGTGATATTTCCTGTGCCATCAGGGTTTTGTTCATAAAGTCGTTGCCTACACCAATGTCTTCAAGAGTTCTACCTATTCTATCTACTAGCAGATTTAGTGTTTCTGTTTTGATATTTAGATCCATTTTGATTTTAGTTTGGTGGATTGTGAAAGATATTGGTCTAGTTTTAATTTTCAGCATGTGGAAAGCTAGTTTTTCCAACACTCTATGTATGTATGTATGTATGTATGTATGTATGTATGTATGTATGTATTTCTTTTTGGTGGTACTGGGGATTGAAACTGGGGCCTGGGGCCCTATATGGAAGACACTATCTTTCTTTCTTTTTCTTTTTGAACTGGGGATCCAACTCAGGACTGAAAGGGTCGCCGAAAAGGAGGGGGACACAAATGTTCAAGCAAGCCTTTATTGGGGGCGACCTGCTGGGACTGGCTCACAAAATGGAGACCCGCCGTCCCATGAGCTGAGCTGGAGGCTTATATGTGGCTTTTGTATGTGGGAGAGCACATAGTCCTTTGATGGGGGTGGGTGATGGTGGTGAGGGCATAGAGCAACAAATTCTGGTTGGGAGACGGAGTTACAGGCTCCAGGAAGTCCCTATCACATGGGAACATCTGGTGGGATGGAGTGACAGGCTCCAGGAGGTCATTAACTAGGAGGGGTCAAGTCTTTGTTATGTGGAAGTTCCCTGTTTGCAGTTAAAGGAGGAGAACAGAGGGGGGAGGGGGAGGAGGGAGCTTGTTCTTGGGGAGGGGGGCGGGTTGGAACACCTAACAAGGACCTTGCGCTTGTGAGGCAGGTATAGGGCCACTAAGCTCAATCTTCCGGCCCAGAGACTTTCTTCCAGGGGAAATGTTTGACTCCTTTGTTAAAGATAAGATGGCTGGCTGGGTGCATGACACACGCCTGTAACCCCAGCACTTTGGATGCTGAGGCAGGAGGATCGCCATGAATTTGAAGCTACCCTGAACTACATAGTGAGGCCCTGTCTCAAAAAGCAAAAAAACAGGGCCGGAGATTTTGCTCAGTGGTTCCACCACCTCCCTTGCAAGCACAAAGACCCGAGTTCGATCCCCAGTACCAAAAAAAAAAAAAAAAAGCAAAAAAACATCCACTGCCTGCCTTGAAACCATGAGGACCTAAGTTCGATCCCCAGTACTAAAAAATAAAGAAAAAGAAAAAAATAAAGATATGGTGGCTGAGTATGTTTGGAGTTGTTTCTCCTAATCTGTTCCATTGATTGCTGGGTCCTTTTTTTTTTTTTTTTTTTTTTTTGTGCCAGAACCATGCTGTTTTTATTTTTAAAATTTTTTAAATTTTTGGTACCAGGGATCGAACTCGGGTCCTTGCGCTTGCGCAGCAGGTGGCGAAACCACTTAGCTAAATCCCCAGCCCTACCATGCTGTTTTTATCACAGTAACTCTGTAGTATAATTTCAAGTCAGGGATTGTGATACCCCCTGCCTTGCCTTTGTTGCCCAGAATTGTTTTTGCTATTCTAGGTCAAAATGAGTGGAAAAGACACAAGGGATCTTACTTTTCACTTAAAATTTATCTTTCAAAAATATATTTCCTGTGGTTCTGCTGCCTGCCTTGCAAGCACAAGGTCCCAGGTTCAATCCTCGGTACCAAAAAAAAAAAGAAAAGAAAAAATATATATATATTTCCTTGGGCTGGGGATGTAACTCAGTGGCACAGCACCTGCCTGCGCAAGTCGGAGGCCCTAAGTTTGATTCACAGTACCCGAAGTAAATAAATAAATAAACAAAATTAAAAGCATCGTACCACAACGATATATGCACACCAAGTTTATTTATTTATTTATTGGTACTGGGAAATTGAACTCGGGACCTTGCACTTGCAAGGCAGGTGGTGGAACTGCTGAGCTAAATCCCCGGCCCTGCACACCCATGTTTATAACGGCACAGTGGGCCTGGGATTTAGCTCAGTGGTTCTACCGCCTGGCTCGCAATCGCAAGGACCTGAGTTCAATCCCTAGTACCAAAAAAACAAAAAAACAAAACAAAGAGTATAACGGCAAAGTTTGTAATAACTACATCTTGGAAACAGCCCAGAGGCCAATCACCGGACGAATGGATAAGGAAGATGGGGGTTTTTGTTATATGATGGAGTACTACTCTGCCATAAGGAAGGATGAGCTTCACACATTTATAGCTAAATGGATGCACCCTGATACCATACTCTTCAGTGCAATAAATTGGACACACATGTTTAAATGCCACATTGTTTCTCTAGTGTGAGAAACCAGAAGTGAAAATAAGGACTAAAATGTATAATAGATACTGGGAAATGGAAAGAAAATGTTCAAATGGCAAGGGGAACATGGAAGGAGGGAGAAAGGAAGGGGTAAGTTAAAAAGTTAATAAAGAAGGAAAAAATGGAAACAAAACTTTGTACATAGGGAGGGGAAAGGGCTTGAGGGGAGGGAGGTAAAAGGGAAAAAAGAGGTGGGATGTACCATGTACAGTTGCAAATTCCCTATGATGAGTGTTATCATCATTATGTATGCTTAAAATGCACCAATAAATGCTGTGCTATTAACAATAAATAAATAAATAAATCTTTACTCTTAAAAATAATCTTTTCTTTTTCCCCTTCTGGAACTGGGGATTGAACTCAAGGCGTGCACACTGAGCTACATCCCCTGCCTTTAAAATTTTTTTTTATTTTGAGCCAGTGTGTCCCTAACCCACCAATTGGCCCAGGCTAGGCTCAAACTTGTGATTCTCCTGACTCAGCCTCCCAGAATGCTGGGATGACAAGCATGCACCATTATGCCTGACTAAATGTTACTTTTATAAGTAAATTAGAAGAAAATATTCCCTTATGTTTATGTTTTTCCTGCCTATTCATTTTTTGGTTTTTCTGATCTGGTCTCACTATGTTGCCCAGTCTGGCTGGAACTTGTGGTGATCCTCCTGCCTCAGCCTCCTAGGTGCTGGGATTACAGGTATGCACCACTACACC